TATAAAATGCTGGTGGAGCTGGGGGTTGGACTAGATGACCTCCCAGGTCCCTTCCAAAGTCTGGTATTCTGTGATTCTGTAAGGGGCTCCTGCTTGAGCGGGGCTTGGACTAGAATCACTAGATGACCTCCAAGGTCCCTTCCGACTGTTATTCCGACTCACTCCATCCCTTTCCTATGTAAAGTTGGCCTAACCAGAGGTATCCTCCGAAATTTCTTCACGGCAGCGGGAAGCGATGGTGCAAGCGATACAATTCCCATCCTTTAGTTTACACAACTGTTAACACATAGCATCTGCGTTTCAATTTCCATTCAAAAGACTTGGTGGCAGCCCATCCACTCTGAGCTATAAGACATGGAGCATAGAACCCAACCGCTGGAAGGGACCTTGGAGGTCTTCTAGTCCAGCCCCCTGCTCAAGCAGGAGACAATGTACCATCCTGGTCTAATGGTGGTCTGTATTTTTGGGTTGGACTAGAAGACCTCTAAGGGTCCCTTCCAACTCTTCTTATTCTGTCATTCTGAACGCACGACTGTGGGGCACTGCAACCGTCATAACTACAGGTCATTTGCATTTTAATCTTGCGAATTACCGGAAAGGCCGTAAGCAACTTTGTTCAGGGCGGTAGTAAATGGAGTGGTATCTAAACAAACGCAACTTCCACGTGTGTTGGTGAAGGTGCTGTTCTAGAAACTAGGAAGCTGGGAGTTCTAGTCCCGCCCTAGGCATGACAACCAGCTGGGGGACTTTGGGCCAATGATCCCCAGGAGACTTGTGTCAGTCAACTTGCTGCTTGCTGCCATGGAAATGGGGGGGGTTTGGGGGGGGGCTCACTGGAGAATTTTTCTTTGCAGCTTTGCAGCAACCAGTCTGGGCTTTGCTTATCTCCCCAAGGTCACTTCTCCTAGCTTTGGTATGCCACCACCCCAGACGATGGGCTCGAATCCAAGACTTTCTCAAAACATTCCCTGGCCTCTACTTGCCCTCCTAGCTACAACGGGGTGGGGGGTTTGAGCCCCTGGGGTTTGCTTCAAGTAGACTCTTCGTGTGCTTTTGGCTCAGGTCTTGCCTGCCTCGAGTTGCATTCAGTCCTTTCCTACTAAAAGTTCCTTTTCTCTAAGGGAGCCAAGGGGTTTTTTTCCCCCACTAGGGATTGGATTGGAAGCAGCCCTGACAAACGGCGAGTTCTAGTCCAGCAGATTAGACAGCTTCCTCTTCCCCAGCCCAACCTACCTCACAGGGTTGTTGTGGGGGAAAAATAGGGAAAGGAAGGAGTATGACACATGTTTGCTGCCTTGAGTTATTAATAACAATAACAAAGGTTTGTGGAAACATCTAATGACACAGGGGCGTCACTGGACTATTGTGAGTTTTATCCTCAGCTGCGCTCCTGTTTATCATTATGCTGATTAGTGGTTTTACTAAGTTTATCTTGGTTAGGTGCCAAGAGTTGCCGTTCTGGGTGGCTGTAGAAATGCATTCAGGTGAACGAACCCCATGGAGAAAAGTTGTGACTCAGAATCAACAAAAGCTTGAGGGAAGAAGAGAAGGCAGAAGGGAGAGGAGAGAAGAGAGAAGAGGGGAGAGAAGAGAAAAGGCAGAAGAGAGAGGAGAGAAAAAGTCAGAAGAGAAAGAAAAAATAAGACAAAAGGTAGGAGACAGGAGATGACAGAAGAAACAAGTCAGAAGCATCAATCTAACAATTGACTGGAGGAAATTGGGAAAGGCCATAGATGAGAACTTATGGATGCTACTGTAGCTGGGTGTTCATCATCTCATGGTTGCTTAGGAACCTGGTAATTTTTCAGCAGTTCTAGATTCAGACATAATAAAGCAATTCAACAGTTGTTTTCTTCCAACCATTTATTTACTCTAACCTCCTGCTCAGGCAGGAGAATCTATACCATTTCAGACAAGAGAGTTAAAAACTTCTAAAAAAAAAAACCTTCTTCTTAAAAACCAGAATTAATATAATATTGCAGAACAATCACCCAGCTAAACAGATCATAAAATCAACAAGCCTGTCTTCCTGGAGAATAAACGGGGATTACGAAATGTTATTTTGATAGAAAAGAGAATTTGTAGCTCCGAGTTGAACTGGGGGGGGAGGGGGGGCGACAGGCGGTCCTCGAGTGTGTGCTGCCCTCTGGAGGCAGCTCTGCGTAATTACTCCGACTGGGTCGGAAAAGTTGATAGAAGTTGGCGGAAGAGAGACGCGTGTCAGAGACCATAAGGGTAAAGAACAGGTGCAGCTGCTTTTCCGACAACTCTAGCGCGTTTTCTTAAAAAGGTATAAGATTAAACATAGGCCTTTTAGCCAAGTTTATCAAGGAACAGATTTAGATTTATAGGCTTTGAAAGGAAAAAGGCAAACCGACTTTCTTAAAATGCTAGTCCCTGTTGTTAAAAGACTGGCTCTCGTTTCAGGGTCGGATCAGTGTCTTTCGATCTTGGCGACTTTAAGACCAACTCCCAGAATTCCCTGGACAAATATGCATTAGATTTCAGCTTTCCAAATCTTATATCCAGCACACGTAGCCCTCGACTCCCAGAATTCCCCATCTAGCATGTGTGAAGTTCAACTCCTAAAAGACCCCCACCAACATGCCTGGACCTCAACTCCCAGAATCCCCCTGCCAGGATAGTGCACTTCAACTTCTCCGGCTGATCTGGTTCCTCCTTGGGAAGAAACTTTCTAGTCTACAATTCCTTTCAAAAAAATGAATATAAATAGGAATATAATCATAGGACTGGAGGAGGTCCTAGAGGTCTTCTAATCCAACCCTCCCCCACCCCGGGCAGGAGGCCTTATATTTTGCACGCTCCCGCATTTTTGCAGGCTTTCTGTTAGTGCTAGCAACCGCATTCCAGCCTGCAAAATGGTTGTGAGAAAATAAAGAGGCGGAAAGACCTCGCCAATAACCATCCTTTGCAAGGGAGAAAGAACCCCACACCGTAGGTCGTCTTGCCCTTATTAAAAATGGCCGCACCGTCTTTAAGAAACTCTTGGCGCCTACCTTTTCGGCTTCCTGCAAAGCTGGTCTTTTGCTGATCTGGTAGCGGGGACCATCTTTGAAACGGGAATATCCGTTTCGAAACACCTCCGGCTCGCAACCAAAGCCAGTTAAAACGAGGGCCGGATGGGGTTTGGGTGTTTTTTTTTTCCCCTCATGCTGGCTGGGGAATTCTGGGAATTGAAGTCCACCCCTCTAGATTAAAAGGTACAAGATTGCGAAGCACCATTCTAAGAAGTCAGGAATAAAATCCACTTTCCCCAAATTCTAAACCTCCCTTCAGGCAAAAGACAAGAACTGATGGTTGTATTATTAAACTCTCTGCCTGTAGCCCCAAAAGAGATTACTGGATTTATTAATCTGGCCCCGACAGTGAACAATTCACTGAAATTGAAACAATCCACTTCTTTTAGATCAGACAATTTCAAGGACAATCAACCTCTTTCCAGATTCTTGCAATTTTATTTTTTTCTCAGTTTCACCTGACTTTAAAAAAAAAATTAATTTAAACCCTTTTATTAATACTGCGCTTCCATGGAAAATCACCACTAATTTAGAAAAATAAACTTTTGCAAAAGGCTCTGAATCCACTTTTTAAGATTTCCTATGCTGTTTTCTCAAACAAGCACTTCAGTAGTTCAGGTTTTAAGGGAGGCACTGGATTTTTTAAAGGAAACACATTGAGCCTCCCAAAAGAAAAGAGGGGATGCATACAGTCAAATAAAATGAAATGAAAGCAGCAAGGAGGCATTCTGCTCTTCTTTTCTCTTGTGCTTCCTTCTTTTGTTTCCTTTTCTTCCTTCTTCCCCCTTTGATTTTCCTTCCTCTATTCTTTCCCTCTTTTTTTCTCTTCTTTCCTTTTCTTTTCTCCCCTCCTCTTCTCTTCCCTTTCCGTCTTTTCTTTTCTTTCCTTTCCTTTCTCTTTTCAGTTTTCTTTCTCTACTTTCTTTTCTCCCTTCTTTCTTTTCCTACCCTTTCTTCTTCCTTTTTCTTTTTTCACCTTTCCTCTTTTCTACTTTTCTTCTTTCCTTCTCTTCTTTCTGCGCTTCCTTCCTTTCTTTTTCCTTCTCCCTTCCTTCTTCTCTTTCTCTTCTTCGTTCTTCTCTTTTCCTTCATCCGTCTCTTTTCTCCTTCTCTTCTCCCTTATTATCTTTTCTCTTCTTCCTTCCAGCCGCGGAGCCCCCCCCCCCCCCCACTTCGGACCCAGGCCCCCACTCTGGACCAGAGAAACTGAGGGCGGGGACCTTTTTTGCAGCCCGCCCCCCGGGATGCAAAGACTTGGGGGGGACGGAGGGGGGCGGCTCTTGCAAAAGCCCAGCCAGGCAGCTCCCCCACCCCAGGCGCGCAGCAGCGCCACCCCCCCGCGGGCTCCAGCAGGCGGAGGGCAGGGCCGGGGGGCGGGTAGCCGGTTGAGGCCTCCTCTTCCTCGGCGGGCGGGGCCCACAGCCATTCAGACCCCGTTGCTGCCGCGCCAGTCAGATCCGGGACCACCGGCCCAGCCTCAGCAGGTAAGGCGCCCGTGGGCGCCAGGTCCTCTTCTGGCCGGAAGGGCGAGGCAGCCCCTCCGCGCCCCCCACCCGCTTTGGAGGGGGGGGGACGGAGGTGGCTCCCCTTCACCAGACGGATCCTTTGCAACCATCCCCGCGTTTTGCACGGAAGGGCGCGCTGCCCGGGCTGGGGGCGCCGCCGTCGTTGCCCCGGAGATCGGGGGGCGCATTTGCAACCGGCTCTTCCTCCGCTTACACGGCGAGGGGCTTGTCCATGGAGGGGGCTTTGGGACCCGAAGTGGAAGATGGAGCGGGGACTGCAATGCACCCCGCAACTAACTTCGGGGGGCGCCCTAATTCACCCCACTCTTGATTTGGGGTGCAAGGCACCCCATCTTCCCTCGCGCCGTTTTGCAAACAGGCCAACGCCGGAAAATTATCGCATTGCTCGAGCCAAAACCCGATCGCTGTATTCCCGCGGGGAGGTCAGGCCGGAAACGGATCCGGCGAGTTCACACGTGCAATCCGCAGTCATGCGCCCGGAATGCGGGTCAGTACCGCGCAAGCGTGTGGGAGGAGACTTTCTTCCCTTTGGCGTTGGGAATCAGGCCGGGGTTGGTTTTTCGGGTCGTGTGAAATGGAGGAAGAAAATGGGGTCGTGGGGAAAGGTCCTGGGACCCCAACACGAGGGATTCGCGTGGAAATACACCTTTCCGGTTCGCTTCGAATAAATTTCTCATCCTTTATTCCTTGAATCGTTAGCCTTGCATAAAGCCCCCAATGGGTTGGGGGAAACACTTGAAATAAACCTTGGATTAAATTTGGAATACTTTAACTTTATATGTATAATTTTATATTTGTATGGTATTCAGCTTTGTTCGGGTATTTTCCCACCTCGCTATAGTTGTGCATTATAGTGGGTTCCCAATGCAGAAGCCTGATGATGGCAGATGAGATTCTGCCGAAACGTTGCTACAACTTTAAAAGCACAACTATAATGACGTGGGAAAATACCCGAACAAAGCTGAATGCCATACATGTAAGTACCCGCGAAAACTTAAGAAAACAATTTTATATTTATATATACTTTAAAGCTTTGTGGCATGAAATCTAGAATTTACAATGAGAAGTCAAACAATTAAAATCGTTTCATGATTTTGGGAGGAAAAAAAGAGTCAAAAAATTTGATTCCTAATACAGTGCTTTCTTTTTTTTCAACCCTAGGAAGCTTGGGGGACGTGTGGACTACAACTCCCAGAATCCCCCTGGTTGGGGGAGGATTCTGGGAGTTGAAGTCCACACATCTCCAAGCTGGGTAACCAACACTGTCCTAACAGCAAACAACTTCATTTGCTAAGCAAGGCGATCATTAAGCCAGTCATGGCACCCAATTTTATGACTTTCTGCCATGGTTGTTAAGTGAATCATGTGGTCGTTAAATGAATCAGGCTTCAAAGGGTAATCATGTGACCCCAGGATGTTGCAATCGTCGTAAGTGCAAGAACTGGTTTGGAGTCACTTCTTTTTCAGCGCTGTTGTAACTTTGAACGGTCACTAAAGGAATACTGTGGTTGCAAGTCGAGGACTAACTACATCGGTTGATAAGCCTTAGAAGGTGAGGCTTAATACGCCCCCCAGTGCCCGAGGTGAGCACCCCCTAACAGAGATTGTTAACTGCCTTAGACTGCCGTTCTCAAGATCTCATTGATTAGGATAATTTTCTTTAGAAGGTACTCTAGAGGTCATCTAGGCTGACCCCCTGCTCATTAGTTCCTCAAGCCTTAACCCTTTTCCTTGGAGCTGTAATTCTTAGACCCTAAAATAACCATTTTAAAGGCAGGGTTTTTTGTTGTTGTTTTGTTTTGCTAGGGTTCCCCAGGTGAATTTTTATTTTATTTTATTTAACAGCTACAGGTAATCTTCGACTTATGACCACAATTAGACAGGAACTTCCATCCCTAAGTGATGTATAAGTAATCCTCTACATACGACCACAATTCAGCCTGAAATGCAAAGCAGTTGTTATGTGAGTTTTGCCCCATTTTACAACCTTTTTTTGCAACCTTTGTTAAGCAAATTATAGCAGCTGTTAAGTGGATTGTGAGGTCATTAAGCGAATCCCTTATTTGCTGGAAGGCCACAAAAGGGGTTCCCATGACCCCAGGACACTGCAACCATCGTAAGTAAATGCCAGGCATCTGAATTTGGATCATGTGACCCTGTGGGCGTCTACAATGGTCGTCCATGCGAAAACCGCTAAGCCACTTTTTTCCAGAACCATTGTAACTTCGAACGGTCACTAAATGAGGGTTTGCAATGCAGACAACATCCTTTTGAAAGTTTGTGATTCTTTCAATTATTTTTCCTTTTTCCTTTCTCCGCCTTTTGCTAGACGTCCTTGGGCCACAACTTTAATCGTCCACAAGTCAGAAAAAACCTCAGGGACCTTCAGACCCATAAGGTAGTCCAAGCCCTAACTCCCTCACCCCATCTTCCCTCCGTCTGAATTTCCACGGTCTTCCTCACCCTGTTTCCACCCGGGACGCCCATGTTTTCCTCGGCCGCGGCGAACGTGCGATGGAGCGTCCAGTTTGACCCTTCCCCGTCCACTTCGTCCGTGGCATCCCTGACCGCCATTCCTGGACGCAAGCGGAAAGCCAACTTCTCCAACGATGAGATGGAAACCCTGGTGTGGAATGTAGTCCGGCATTTCGGCGCCTTATATGGTTCCGAAAGCTTCCGGGCGCACCCCGCACGGCGCAAACAGCTCTGGACACAGATCCAAAGCCGTGTCAACTTCCTCGGCTACACCGAGCGCTCGATTGATGACCTGAAGCACAAATGGAGGGATCTACGGCTGGACGTCAAGAAGAAGATCACCGCCAAGAAGAGCCCGGCCGTCCACCGGGCCGGAACCCCCTGCAAACCACGGTTGACCCCCCTGGAGAAGATGGTGGCTTCCACATTCTTTCAGCCCACCCATGATTCGGAACCAGAGATCATCCTGGATCCCGGTGAGTGGGGAAGATTTGGACAGAGGGACTGTAAGAATAGAGGGCGGGGCATTTCAGGGTGGCTGCGGGACAATCGGAAGGGTCTCCCAAAATTCTCAGTCAGCATCTGGGCTGGGGGATTCTGGGAGTTAAAGCAGGCTGGCCAGGAGATTCTGGGAACTGAAGTCCATGCCTTTCCAAGCTTCTAAAGTTGGAAACTAGTATCCAGATAGCTACGGACTCAGAATCCCGACTTTGAAGGGACCCTTAAGATCATTTAGTCAAACCCCCTCCTCAGCACAATTCCTAAACTCAACCTCGCTGTCCAGTGACCATCCTTGGGCAAAGAAGCTCTTCTGCATTCTGAACCCGTCGTACCCCTGGCAAACTGCTGTGAGAATCCTAGTATGGAAACAGTGCCTTTGAGATCATCTAGTCCACCCCACCCCGAGGGATGACCATCTAAGGCACATTCAGTGAAGGGGGAATTGCTGGGCCCGGAGGGTAAAACCACTGTAACCCACTGTTGCGAGTCCTTTTATTTCAGTTTCTATTAAAAAGGAGGTGAGGAAATGTCATTTTCTTAATTTTAGTTGGGTCAGGCAGCAGTGAAAAAAAGAGAAGAATGAAAGAGGGATAAGCATACAGGTTGTCCTTGACTTACGACCACAATTGAGCCCAATGTTTTTGTTGCTAAGTGAGACGGTTGAGTTTTCCCCCCTTTGAGGACTTTTCTTGCCACCGTTGTTAAGTGAATCCCTGCAGTTGTTCAGTTAGCTTAACGGTCGTTCATGAATCTGGCTCTCCCCCCCCCGCCCCGCCCAATTGACTTCGCCTGTCAGAAGGTCCCAAAGGGGGATCACGTGACCCACCACCCCGGAGACACGGCACCCGTCGTCATATATATGAGTCTGTTGCCAAGCATCTGAATCTTGATCACGTGACTCTGGGGATGCTGCAACGGTCATAAACGTGAATAACACTAGATGATGATGGATGGATGGATGGATGATAGAGATGATAGATAGATAGATAGATAGATAGATAGATAGATAGATAGATAGATAGATAGATAGATAGATAGATAGATAATATCAGACAGATAAAGGATAGAGATAGGTAGATAGATATAGATAGATACAGACGGATAGATATAGATAGATAATATCAGACAGATACATGATAGATGGATAGATAGATAGATGGATAGATATAGATAGATAGCTGGATATATATATATATATATATATAGATAGATAGATAGATAGATAGAGAGAGAGAGAGAGAGAGAGAGATAATATCAGACAGATAAAGGATAGAGATAGGTAAGTAGGTAGGTAGGTAGATAGATACAGACAGATAGATATAGATAGATAATATCAGATAGATAGATAGATAGATAGATAGATAGATAGATAGATAGATAGATAGATAGATAGATAGATAGATAGATAGATAATATCAGACAGGATAGAGATAGATACTATACAGATTAGCAATAGAGGATAGAGATAGATAGATGATAGACATAGATTATAGATATAGATTAGCAATGGATGGATGGATGATAGAGATGGATGAATGGAAGATGGATAGATGATGGATGATAGAGATATTGATACTATACAGATTAGCAATAGATGATAGACAGATTATAGATGTAGATTAGCAAAGAATGGATGGATGGATGATAGATATTATACAGTAGCAATAGATAATAGAAGTGGGTAGATGATAGACATAGATTATAGATTAGCAATAAATGGATAGATATTATATAGATTAGCAATAGGTGATAGACAGGTATAGATTAGCGGTGGGTGCGTGGATGGATGGATAGATATATAGAGTGAAAACCGGTCATAAGTCACTTGTAACTTCAAACTCGCTCAACGAATGGTCATAATATTGATGGACACGCCCCCTGTTACATCATCCCGGAGTCACATGATCCCCGTTTGCAACCTTGCCACCTAGCTTCCACCCAGCAAACTCTAATAGAGGAAGCCGGATTCACTTAGCAACCGCACGATTCACTTTAACAACTGCAGCGAACCACTTCACAACTGTAGACATAGAAAAAGTCGTTGCCTTGCTTAACCATGGAAGTTCTGCTCCCGATGACAGTCGTAAGTGGAGGATTCCCTGCACTGCAAGATGCTCAGATTGTAGGTAGATTAGAAGTTTGCAAGACAAAAATAATATTGTGGTTGTTGCAAAACAACAGCAGTTTGCAGATGCGGTGGGGCGGATGGTGGATTCCCCAAAAATCACAAACACGCAGTGATCTTATTTTGCAGAGATTTACTTCCCGGGAACCTCCAAACTGAGGTTTGGGCCCATGCAGGATGCAAACAGCCACCCCAGTATTTACATCAACACCAACGGGCAGCCGTCCACTCTGCCAGAAATGGAGGAGTTCGTTGGGCCTCGCCTGGGTGTCCAGAGTCCAGACCCGTCAGTAATTGGAGACTACAGCAGAGGGGAAGAGGAGAGCAGCTCTGGTAAGTCCTCCAAGGCAACTGGACGCTGCCTAGACTGTCCACCGGCGAAGCGAGACTGCTGTTCTAGGATCGTAGTGTTTGAAGGGGATCTCAGAGTTCATCTAGTCCAGTGGTGCCCAGCCTTTGTGGCTTGGCGGTCCAGCTGGGGCAGAGAGAATTGAACTGGGCCATGTCAATGGTGGGCTGGTGCACCCGTGCATACAGATCAACTTGCGCAAACAGTGGGCAGGCCTGAATATGCGCGTGCCAGTTGGCTGCTCGTGTGAATGGAGTTGCACTCACGTGTGCACCGGCCCACCTCTTATGCGGCCCAGTTCTGAATCGGCTGCGGCCCACTAGTGGCCTGGGGGTTGTGGGCCCCTGATCTGGTCCAAACCTTGGCTTAGTGCAGGCTCTGTGCTGAGATCAAGTCCGCCTCTCTTGGCATCCACCTCCCCACTGTGTCTGGCACAGAGGCATCCGTTAAAGCGAGGATGATGATGATGATGACATACTTACAGGCAGCCCTTGACTTGCAACCGTTTGTGTAGCGATCATAGCGTGAGACCAAAGAAAAGAGGTTTAATTTACTTATTCGTGTAACACCTTTATTATTTTGACAAAGAACTCCAGGGGGGGTGAACAAATCCAACACAACTCCCTCCTCTGATTTTCCCAACAACAACAGCCCTGTGAGGTGGGTTGGCTGAGGTAGAGTGATTGGCTCAAAGTCATCGGGTTAGTTTTCATACCTAAGGTGGGACTAGAACTCACCGTCGCCTGGCAACCTTGTTTCCTTCTCTCCCCCAGCTGACTCCGGTCCAGAGCTCCAGATTCCCGAAAAGTCGACTGTCTCCCCCCCACTGAGAAATGACTCCCTGGTGTCCTACACTTCCGAAGAGGAGGACGCAGAAGGCCCAGATGGGAATGAGGGTCTCGATCCGCCATTCTCAGCCGAGGAAGACCTGAAGTTCTCCAGTCGGCAGGCGATGCTCCTCCGTCGCTGCAGTTTGCGGGGATCGCCTGCATCCGAGCCAGAGGACATGTTTACTCCGGTGGGTGGTCACTCTGAGTGGGGTCACGATGGGGGTGCTGACCTTCCAGTCCTGGGACCCCAGACAGAGGACGAAGGATCAGAGCCCCCCAGTACTGATCTAGGCTCCTTCCCACGGGGACTGGTGGGTCCGGGGTGGGAGCCGTCGTATGAGGATCAGCAGCTGCCGCCGTCCATATCTCCGCTCGGTGCAGGGACTCTAACGGAGGAGTCCCTGCCTCCTGTATCCCCTTGCAAAGACCCAGTATCCCCTTCGCACTCCTTGCCACGGGGAATCGGGGCCTACCACGCACGGGAGAGCCACCGAGGACCTTGCAAGACCACCCTCCATCGCTTAATGGAGATGGAAGACCAGTGGGATCAGCTCTACCACCACGAGTTAGCTGTGTGGCAAGAAGAACGAGCCCAGCAACGGGAGGAGCGGGCTAGAGACAGGGACCTCCAGCTGCAGCTCCTGGCTGTCCTCACCGAGATCCGCGACGAGCTGCGGTGTTTGCGGCAGGAACGGGCAACTTCCCGCCAGGAGGGTGCTTCGCAAACCGGCACGGAGCTCACCTCGCCGTGCCTGCCTCCGAAACCCGAGGTGTCACTTCCCAAGTCATTGTCTGTACATGCCCCGTTGTTCTACCCTGGCAAAACCGAATCTTGCCTCACGGGAACAACTTTGCTGAATGGCGGGCGGGGACAGAGGGGTGTTGGGCTCAGAAGTCCCCAGGGTATCCCCCGGCGGGGCAGGGGGCGTCCCCGAGGGTCCACATCTCGTCACAAAAGGTTGTTGGTGAGCAGCAGATAGGTGGGGTGCGGGTTGCCAATCCCAGGACTAACAAGACATCTCATGTGGGAGGACACGTGGACATGCCATGCGCCACAAACACCCCGGATATCCATGAAAGGCATCGGAGTGCGTTTCCCTACAAAAGTCTTTAACATCGGAACACATGTTGCAAATATCTTGAGCTTTTTTTGATAACGTGGGATGAATTAATAAGCATAGTGATCAATGTATGACCTGCATGCAAGTGAATATGCGCTGTGTACAGGAAAGTCCTCGACTTACAACCACTTCCTTTACTGACTGCTCCAAATCACGACGACCATTCTCCACACTCATGGCCGTTGCAGCCTCCCTGTCGTCATGTAATCAAATGCAAGATGCTTGGCAACTGGCATGGACTTATGACAGTTGCAGTGTCCCAGGGCCACGTGGTCCCCTTTTGCGACGTTCTGCCAAGCCAAATCAATAGGGAAGCCGGATCTGCTTTACAGCCGTGCAACTGCAGCGATTCATTTAACAACGGCAGCAAGAAAGGTCGCAAAATGGGGCAAAGCACACTTAACATTCTTGCGTGGCTGTGGAAATTTGGGCACAATTGTGGTCGTAAGTCGAAGACTATATCATGGCAGAACAAGGTCAGTTGTATCCCAAAAGTATGCCGATTTCAAAGATGGCCAAAGTGTAACATATTTTGCACATCTGGTAAAAAATGCCAAGTGTGGGATGGATTTTGTCCTCCGGGAGTCTGTGAAGACATCATGAACATCCCCCGGTCAAATAAAACTGAGGAAGAGATGGCATAGGTGGGCACGATTGGATAGAGGTAGTATTCAGCCGGTTCTGACCGCTCCTTGTGGACAGGTAGGGAAAATTTTGACGGGCCCAGCCCACTCGCCCCCACTCTTTCCTCCTATATTTTGTTGTTTATTAGCTCAGCTGATTCGTGTGGCAGAGTAGATTGCTGCGCCTCAGCTGAGGTAAAAAAACAGCACAGCTCACCGTTCTTGATAAGAGAGCGGTCGACCTGCGCGCGCACACGATACATGCATTTGGCGCGTGCGATTAGGCGCGTCTGCACAGCTCACCAGCGTTGATAGAGGGCGGTGTTTGAGCACTGCACATGATTGGTATGCGCAGAAGCGAGTTCCCTAAACCGGTAGGAATTTTTTTTGAAACCCACCACTGCATGGATAGGCGTGTTGGGGCAAAAGGCGTCCCTCCGAACAGATCTGCTGTTCCGTTCTCTCTCCACGGCAGATCAGTTCTTAATGGCCGTTTGTTTCTCGACATTCATTTCATGAAGTAATGTGTATATATCCATAAATTGTGTGTGTGTGTATATATTTATATATATATATCCATAAACTTTTTTTTAGAATGAAAAGCACCAACAGAATCTTCCTGTGTGGAGTTTTGTTCATGAGCCTCGCTGGTTCTCTTTGGTCAAAAAAATTCTGGTCTTTTCCAGGCTTACTGGGGAATTCTGGGAGTTGAAGGCCACAGATCTTAAAAAGTGGCCGAGCTTGAAATATTTGGCACTACAGATGGTCAGTCCTCCCCTCATAAATATTCGCTTAGTGAACTTTTTTTTTCCATTGGAAAAAAAAGTGGCTTACAACCAGTCCTCACACTTATCCACACACACACAGTCACGTGACCAAAATTCAGGAGCTTGACAAATAGCATGTATTTATGATGGGAAGTTGCGTGAGCTCCATTTTTTGACCTTCCTAGCTGCCTTCCTGAAAGCGAAGTCAGTGGGGGAAATCTGGATTTGCTTAATGACACGCGATTCACTTAACCACCATGGCAAAAAAAGATAAAATCAAACACGGATCACTTAATAACAAATTTTAATCATGTGACCATGGGTACGTAAGTGTGAGAAACAGTCACTTTTTTTCGGTGCCGCCGTAGCTGAATGGTCACTAAATGGTCATAAGTCGAGGACCAACTGCACCTAAAATGAAAAATATGAATGCCATTTCTCTAGTTACCCATCACATAGTGAAATCTAGTTATCAAAGCCTGTCAACTCACAAAAAATGCTTGCTTTCTGAGCTGGGGGGTCAGACTAGATGATCTCAAGGCCTCCAGGATTCTAGGACATTTCTATCATTTGTGGTTGAAAAATAAATTATTTAAGGAAAGTCATGGGGCCAGCAAATACAGGTAGTCCTTGACATACAGCCATTCGTTTAGTGAGAGTTTAAAATTTGGATGCTTGGCAACTGGTTCATATTTATGACAGTTGCAGAATCCTGGCGTCGCATGATCCCCTTTTGTGACCTGACCAGCAAACTCTGGCCAAGCCAGATTCACTTAACAACTTTGAACAAAAGTTCACAGAATGGGGCAAAACTCAACCGTCTCGCTTAGCAAACAAAAATTTTGGCCTCAGTTGTGATCGTAAGTCGAGGACTTCCTGTAATAATACTGCTAGAATTTGGAATTCAAACACACAGAAAGGGCTTCCATCAATACTTTTATTGACAATTATAGTATATTTCAAATTCATCCACAACCGTGACAAATTTCTTCTTTTAAGCTTGCAATTCATCCAAGATAAAGACGAATTCTTCTTTTAAGCTTGCAATTCATCCAAGATAAAGAACATTATTCTGAAGTCAGCCATAAACATGTCTTTTTTAAAATAAAATAAAAATCCTTTTTTACGCACTGTAGTGTCGGAATCTGTTGAAATTAGCCACAAAATGGTGAAAACCTTAAACTACAGGTTTTGGGGAGGGGATAGGAGGAGAATTCAGGTGGGCTGAGGTAAAAAAAATAAATAATAAAGTTTAAATTGTCCACAAGTGCTGGAGTCGGGTCCCAAACACCTTTGGGCCCCTTTTAATTTTGGATTTCTTAAAGAGCAACGTTTCTCCACCTGGACAGCTAGAAGACGGGTGGGACTTCAACTCCCAGAATCCATAGCTGGCAGGGGGAATTCTGGGAGTTGAAGCCCACATTTGTGAAATAGATCCGTTCTCTATTATCATGCTAGATTTCCAGCTAAGGCACAAAATAAAATTGCTGGTGGGAGTTATGGCTATTCTCCATCCTCAAGCCGGTGCCCACAGGCAGAACATATGAAGCTGCTTGGGGATCCGGAGTGCAAGTGAGAAGGAAATAAAAGGCAAGGGGCTGGCCCACAACCAACCTTCCTGGCGTACAACTGTGTTTACAAAATTCACACAGGTTGCCCAGAGCGTGCTGGCGAAGAAAGGGATTTCTCTCAACCTCTGGAACAAACATTATTTTGCTTGGTGCTCCAGTTGAGCAAAGTACCAAACCTCTCATGGGGGCATTGCGTTCAAATCCCCCATTGCCGTGTCACTTGAACTCGTACCAGTCCTCATTGGAGTCCTGATTTCAACTCCCCCCCCCCCCTTTAGAAATACTGCAACAAAGTAAAAATAAAATAAAATCCGGCCTTTTGCAAGTGGCTCCTTGGGCTCCTTATTTCCCTTCCTCCAAATCGGGAGTGACATTGATTCTTTCTATCATGCAAAAACATTCGGTACCACCAAATGTTTCTCCGCATGTTGTGCAGGTGATGCTTCTGCCTTTCTTGTGCTGTTTTTGGTGCCTTTTTGCTGCGCTCTGGAAGTGGAAGAGCTTCCCACACCTGAGGCACTTGTACCTGTATTCCTCATGGGATGCGTGGGGGGTGGATAAATTCTTGCCGCGTTTGTTGTAGGGGTACACCGTCGTGTCTTTAGAGGTGCTCGGACGCTCAGCCAGGGCGTCGTCGAAAGGCTCTTGTGTTTTGACCCTGTTGGGGAGCCCCTTTGTGGGCAAGTCCTGGGGCTTTGGGACCCCGTCTCTCTTGCAAACTTTCACATGAGCCAAGAGTTGCCACTTGTACACGAACTTTTCCCCGCATCCCAAACACCGGTTCAGCTTCTTCATTGCACAGATCGTCGCCATCAAATTGCACCAACGCTTGCTGGTACCCCTGCCGGCACCATAAATTGCTCTCTTTTTTACCACTCTTAGTCTCTGTTGAGGTTGGCCTAGTCTGGAATGCACGGAGGGTCTCTTGCCGCCATCGGACGACGGGTGCTGGGCAGAACCCGCCGAGTCCCCAGTGCTGCTTGACCCGCTTGCGTCCTGCCCGCTGGAAGCCTTCTTATCTCTCAAGGCAGGCCTGAGCTGCTGCCTTTGCTTCTGGCGACAATACCTATAGTGCACTTCCAAATTAATCTCCAGTTTGAATGGTTCTTTGCACCAACCACAAAAGTAGAGTTTTTTCTTCTCAGCGGGGACTTCCGGGGGAGAGGGTGGAGTTGTGCTCGGTGCCGGCGCCACAGCCTGCCCATGCGAGCCTGCGGGGTTCTCATCACAAGCGGCACCCGCAAATAGCGTTTTTTTCTGGGCAGGGTGTTCTGCATCCGTGGCCAAATCACGCTGGGGCAGGATTGTCATCCTGTGAGACTGCAGCGCGGCAGGCTTTTCCGGCACCACATCAGGCACCGAGGGTATAGGCAGAAGCATGTAGCATAGCCTTGGCATGTTCTCTAGCCTCGCGTGACTTAAACCCTGCTCCATGGGTTCTGTCCATAGGTTTCCGCCAGAATCGGGCATGCTCCCCTGTTCAGTTGCCGATACGCAAGACTGTCCAGGAGGCCCCTGGGCTTTGCTACAGGAGGCGTCCAACTCACTAGAGGTGTTCTCAAGAGGGCTGTCCGTGTCCATTTTTCCTGGAGGAAAAAGGGAACGTATAATTGTGACCAGAGGAAAAGAGGAGTTCTGTGTCCAGTCTACCCTAGCTGATTCGATATAAGAAGCAAAGCATGACCAACAGTGTTTAATTCAGGGAGACGTGACCACCTGGAGATCACAGCGCCGTAGGTTAAAAATGAGGAAGAAAAAACATGGTGAAAAAAGGGCAACACAAATAATATCATTTCTTAAACAATGATGGAAATGTCCGCGGAGGGGTCATCAGAAGCTGAGAAGGGAGAGAAGGATATGTTTAAGAGAAGGGGGAGAGGCGGGATGATTAACCTCTTTGGATGTTTAATTAAATTTTCCCACCAGGGAGAAGGAAATTAATTCTCGATTAAAAGAGCATTTCCCAAAGCAGGCAAACCTGCCACCACAGGGCGTTCTGGCTTGACCTCAAACATCTTCCACCCATGCAGGACTCTGAAGTCTCTCCCCCGGCTGAGAGGAGGATGGGAGTTGTAGTTCAGAACTCCAGAGGACGGTAAATCGGAAAAGACGGAATTGGGGAAGCAGCAACCACTGCTACCGAAGGACAGCCCTGGGATTGTTGGCCCGTTCCCGTACGGTCCCCGTACACTTCACTCACCTATAGAAGGGATCTCAGGAAGAGGGTCTTCTATCAGTCTCTGCAATACTTGGAGGTCCTGGCATTTGTTACTTTTAAACCAGGCTAAGATTTCCGTTGAGGTGACCGGGCATCCTTGAAGGGAAACAAGGAAAGAAGATGCTCCAAGGCCTCAGCAATGTCTGGACTTCAACTCCCAGAATTCCTCAGCCAGCGTGCATAGACTTCAACTCCCAGAATTCCCTGCCTTCCACCCACCTGTCCCTCATTCCCAGATGGGACGGCAGAGGTGCTGGGGACGAAGGGTGTTGTAGTTAAGCTTTCATAGATGGCACCTTGAGGGACAATTGTCTAAATTAGGGATCTCCAGCCTTGGCCACTTGAAGACTCGTGGACTTCAACTCCCAGAATTCCTCTGCAAAACTGGCCGAGGAATTATGGGAGTTGAAGTCCGCAAGTCTTCGTGTTGGTTACCTTTCAACCCTGCCTTTCATCGGGGGGTTTTTTTTCAAGCACCTTTTGTCCGTTCCTTCTTCACCCCCTCCAAACAACAACCCTGCCAGGCAGGCTGGCCCAAGAGGGAGGAAGTCCTTCCTAGGAAGCCTCTCCTGTGGCTGAGTAGGACTCGAACCAAGTTCTCACGCTTCTATAGAGCAGCCTGTCCTCAAGTTCAACCCCCCCACCCCGCAGTCCGGCCACCCCCAAGCCCCGTATTGCCCCACTCACCAATGAGGACCAGAGATTGGTAGTTTTCCTTCAGAATATCCCAGTAGAGCTGTTTCTGTTCCTTGGTCAGCAACTCCCATTCTTCTGGTGGGAAGAATACGATGACGTCCTTGAAACCGATCACCATCGACCCCTCCATGGAGAAAGTTTGCATGGGAGAAAAACAAGCAAGTAGATTCCCCTACCCGATTTTGGGGGTTCGGGGGGGGGGGGAAGGGGGGAAATGAGGATGGAGACTGGGGGGTGGGGAGGCAGAATCAAGATCTGGTCTTCAAAAATAAGCTTAAGTCAGTTTATGCAGAAACCTCATCAGCTCCAGGGCGACTCTCAGGGTCCCTTCACACATGCAAAGGTTGAAACCCGGGTTCAGGGGGCTGATGGCACAGAACAAACCATCCACTCTGCTTCCTGGCCAAGTGGCCCGCAGGAGGGTTCACAGCACATACCCTTTAAAAGGTGGTTAGTTGCCAATCGGTTGTTGCGCAAACTCCAGCCTCGGTCTAACCCAGGGGCCCCCAAATTTGGCAACGCTTGTGGATTCAACTCCCAGAATGCCCCAGCCCGATTATGCTTGGCAGTACAAAACTTTAAGAGTCCCTGATTTACCACCATTTGATTTAGCCATGATTCAAAGTTATGCGGTATTGAGAAAAGTGACTTATTCTCCAGCTTTGCTGGCTGGAGTATTCTGGGAGTTGAAGTTCACAAGTCTTAAAGTTGCCAAGGTTGGTGACCTCTGCTCTAACCGCTTGTGTGAATGCGGCTTAAATGGGTGCAAGGTTTTGTAGGAACCAAGCAAACGTTTAATAGTCTCTAAATGAAAGGTTTTAAGTAGAGGACGGCGGTAGCTACGCTGTAAGAGGTGGGGATTTCAACTGCCAGAATGCCCCAGCCTGATTATGCTTGGCAGTACAAAATTTTCAGAGTCCCTGACTTACCACCATTCGATTAGCCATGATTCAAAGTTACGGTGCCACGGAAACAAGTGGCTTAGGTCTAGTCCTCACACATACGACCCTCACAGAATCTCCAAAATTCGAATGCTTGGCAACTGGCATGAATATATATATCCTGGGATCAATGTTCAGGCACTTGGCCACTGGCTTATGACAGTTGCCGTGTCCTGGGATCATGGGATTCCCTTTTGCAACCTTCTGACAAGCAAAGGGGAAGCCGGATTCATTTAATGACTGTGTTACTAACTTAGCAACTGCAGCAAGAAAGGTCGCAAAGTGGAGCAAGAGTCCCTTAACAAAGGTCTCACTTAGCAACAGAAATTTTGGGCTCCATTCTAGTCGTAAATAAGAGGACTATCTGTATCACAGCTGCAGCTTCCTGGGGTCACGTGATGACTATTTGCGACCTTGCTAGCCAGCTTCCAACCAACGAAGCCAATTGGGAGGGGGGATTCGCTTAAGGACCAAGTGATTCATTTAACAACAATAGCAAAATAGGCAGTAAAACTGAGTGCTCCTCACTTACCAGCTTTGCTTGGTAAGAGAAATTCAACTTGGTTATGGCTGTAAATCGAGGACCAGCTTTATTTCTACTTGAGCCCACACAAATAGATCCGATGCATTGAGAGAACCACTTAAAATAAATTATTTTGGGGAAAAAGCAATAAAAGTTGTCCACCAGTTCTTCAAATTGCTTGGATTTATCCTACAGGGCTAAACGAGAGCGCAAATTTTTCTGGGACTCAAAAACTTTTAATTACACAGCCAGAATTGTTGACATCCTGTCAGCACCAGATGCAAAAACTAACCTTCTCCCAAAGTTGTAATCACTTTACACCCGCCTTGTCTTTTGAAGGAAAAAAAAAAAAAGGAACTAAATACCAGAAATAAGAAAAATCAACAAATGGGCAAATTTATCTGACATTCAAACCTACAAAGCTGAAGAGCCAAAAAGCAAAGCTTAATCTACAAAACTGGACAGTTTTCTATGGAAACATTGGGACATGGCGCCTGATCACAATTTATTACAATTTAAGCCATAACAAAATTGAGTTTAGACATCAAATCCCTCTGGGCTTTTTCAAAGCTGGCATATTTCAAGAGCCAAATGTGACTCTTCAAATTACAGCCATTCTTTTAGTGACCGTTCCCAGTTTCAACACCACTGAAAAAAAGTGATTTGTGACCATGCTATCATCCCTGCCCTCGGCTTACAAACAGCTCATTCAAAGTTACAACAGCACTGAAGAAGGGGACTTGTGACCATTTTCCCCACTTAATGACCACTGCAGTATCCCTGTGGTCACGTGATCAAAATTCAGGACACTTGGCACTGACTCGTGCTTATGACGGTGGCAGTGTCCTGGGGTCACGTGATTTCCTTTTGCAAAAAGTCAGTGGGATAAACAGATTTACTTAACAATCATATCAGTAACTTAACAACTGCATTTCACAACAACTGTGTCCAGAAAGGTTGTATAATGAGGCAAGACTTATTTAATGGATGTTACCTTTTCTTTTATTAACACTGAGAGCATTTGCACCAAGACAAATTCCTTGTGTGTCCAATCACACTTGGCCAATAAAAGAATTCTACTCTACTAACCATCATCTTGTTGGCAAGGGAAATGTTGGACTTCTTTGTGGTAGTTAAGTGGAGGAAAACTACAGCAACATGGATGGGATAGAAATTTAATTCAATAATGTATTTTAGCAAAACTAAATGTAGACTGTAAAAGTAATAATAAGTTGCCCCAGAGTCATTTGAAGGGAGGCTCAGCCAATCTCATTGTATACATGTTGTACTCTGACAATAATAATTGTAGGGATAATAATTAATAATAATTGTAGAGACACAAGGTTATCTTAAGATTACTTTAAAGAAAGTGAAACTACAAGTAATAATTAAAATTAAACTGAAGGTTAAGTAAAAAGTACATAGTCACATGATCAAAATTTGGGATGCTTGGCAACCAACTCACAGTTATGCCAGTCACAACGTCCTTTTGAAACCTTCCAGCGAGCAAACTCAATGCATAAACCAGATTTACTCAACAACCGTTGTAACTTAACTACAGGAATTCACTTAACACCTGCACAAGAGGGGGGGGGTTAAAATGAGGATGCAAAGATTCAACTAACATCAGTCTCGCTTGAGCAACGTTGGGCTGACAATGTTGGGCTTACTGCTCCATTGTGGCCCTAAGTCGACGACTAAGACTATAAGGTAACCCACCCAGAGTTACCTTATAGGAGACAGGCGGCAAAAAAAACAATTTAGAAAAGATTGAAAGATAGAAAGAATGTAGAAATTTCTTTTAATAGCTTATTTGAATGGTGAGCCACCCAGAGTTGTTTGCTGATAGAAGTCAAATAAATTTAAAAACCAAGGAATTAATCTTTAAAATGCCCAGAGACGCTTTAGAGAGAGGGGGGGGGGGGCATTTTTAAAAGTAAAATACATAAAAGTGTAAAGTAATTTAAAAAACGTAGCATAAATAAAAGTTCAAGTTCAGCCTCGCACTTGCTAGCTACTAAGAGTAAGCCTCGAGTAGGGTTCAAGATTTTGGCCCGACTCTGCAAAGACCCTCTTTCCCAGCTCGACTCTTTGCCAGGCTAAGCCATCGCCTGGTGGTCTCCCATCCCGGCTGTCCCCATCAGAGAGGCAGGACCCTTCCCTTCCAAGGTGCGGACCCCCGGGGATGGGGAAATGGCCAGAGCGGGGGGGGGGGGAATCAGAAGTCGAAACTCCCGACGAAACGCTCCCCGCGTTGCAATCTTGACAACTTCCAGGCGGTCCGTGGGGCAAGAGGAACCCCGTTGAAGCGGGAACGCCGAGCGGCACCATTCGCCCACCTACCTCTCTCTGGGCTCGCTCGGCTGCTGCTCCACCGGCCATCCCGACGGCTCTCCGGCGTCCCGAGCTGGACCTCGCGCGGTGGGAAGGAAGGTCGGACGGCGTGACGCTCAATGCGGAAAGCTCCCGAGTGGGTTTCAATCGCAATTTATAACACCCAGCCCGGAGCCGGAAAGAAGCGGCTGCTGGCGAGACCGCCTCCCCCACCCCCCCACGAACACACGCCTCCCCATTTCCCGTTGCAACACGTGTCCGCGTCCCGACGTGCAGGTGGCTCCTTTTTTTTGCGACCCGGGTCAAGGGAATCCGGAGGCTGGGCTGGGCGCACCGTTATCCAATAAATACTATGTATCTAATATTTATTAAACGTATCTATTCAGTAGTATTGATAACATTTATTTATTACCCCTTATCTATTCAATATTATTAATATTTACCTGTTACATTTATAATATTATTTATCTATTATCCATTATCTATTCAATATTAATGAACCTGCCTATTAAATATTATTAAACATTATCGATTAAATGGTCCTAATACAAATTAATACACGAAATAATGTATATTGTCAAAAATCAATAAAACTAAACTTTATTAATATTTATCTATTACCCATTATCTATTGCATATTAATGCACTTGCCTATTAAATATTATTAAATATCGATGAAGCAATACAAATTAGCACATGAAATAATTACTTATTCATCCAAAGTTAATAAAATTAAACTTGCCTATTAAATATTATGTATATTTATCTATTTGCTGTATCAAATATTGTTAATGAACTTGTCTGTTGAATATTAAACACTAATCAAATACTATTGATACAAATTTCTGCAACAACAGAAATTTCAACAACAGAAAATTGGCACTCAACTGTGTTTGTAAGTCAAAGACTGCCTTAATTTTTTTTATGTTATATATAGATATATGTGTATTTCATGTGCTAATTTATATTGCTTAATTGATAAATATTTAATAAGTGCATTCATATTCAGTAGATAATAGGTAATAAATATTAATAAATAAAGTTTAATTTTGTTTATGTGAACAAGTATATGTATAATGTACATGTAGATGCATACATGTATATACATATGTGTATATGTACATGTATAATACTTATATACATGTATCAGTTTATGTATATGTATAGTGTATATGTACACATATATGTGTGTTTACACACACATATATTACACATGTACATATGTATGTATATGTATAATTATGTGTAATGTACACATATGTATAATGTATATAGAACAGAATAGAATAGGACCTTAGAGGTCTTCTAGTCCAGCCCCCT